CAGGGTGCTTTTGGTGTCTTTAAAAACACAGAAATGCTGTTATCTCTAGTCAAAGTGCAGTTATGAGAAAAGCTAATTTAGATGGTGTTCTTCTACATCCCATTTTCATTACAGGCATAATGGGAGCAGAGGCTCTGCCTTTACCAGTTTTGTTGATGTACACATGCATTTTTAACTATTTTATTTATTCCTCCCTTCTGATCTCTACTGAATGCTAAAATATGTCGGTGGATAGTGTATAGGGCCCAAGCAGTCCTATAGAAAGAAATTTGATAATATTAACTCTAGTGGTTACTACTATTTTTTCCCTGTCAGACTGGTTTGGTGAAAAGAGCAGTGGTGGGAGGGTGCCTTTTGGATGTGGTATACTCTAAGACATGTACCTAATTGAAAACACCAACCAATTTTTCCTCTTTGAAAATCAGATATGCTGTCCTGGCAAAATAATTCACACTTTCACCCTTTCAAAGGCTGAAAAATACATTTAAGCAACCAAATATTGATCTGTTTACCTACTGATTTGTGAAATTGGCATGGTAATGGACTGCAATGTCCCCTCTGACCCTCAGGATGTAAAAGTTTAATAGGAAGCTCCCTGGAAACTGCCAGTTCAGCTTACAGTGACATCCAAGGCCACGTGCTCTTGGGAGAGAAGGCAGTTTGCTGCTATGCACAATAGTCTCCAAATTGGTGCCAGCTGCAGTGAGTTTATTAAATCCAAGTCCCCAAGGATGGCTGTGAGGGCAGGGCCAGAGGTGATGCAGTGCACAGCAGCTCTCAGGGAGTTGGCTACCCTGCTTTAAGAAAGAAATCTTCCAGGCAAATTTCCAGGCTCATTTCCTGGAATATTTTACTGCAGCACACCAGGCCAGAGGACCCATTTTTCAGAGCAATGGCACTTGATTTGCTTATGTGTGAAAGAAAACTATTGAGGCTTTAAATCTGCTGGGCAGAGGAGCAGCCTTTGGGCTGCTGATTTAATGTGTGTGTGCCTGATACTTACCCAGCCTGTACAGCAACTTGAACAGCAAATAAAACCACCTCAAACAGCACAACCAAGACTCAGTTCATGTGCAAGGGCCATGTCGTTTGAAATACAGCTGCAGCTAAAACATTTGCAACAGCACATTAGGAGCAGAATATACTATTTCTACTTCTCTCTGCACCCTGTGGGAAGACAGTCCACCACAGCAGAGCTCATGTCCCACCACTGTCAAGAGTAGCATGACACAGATCAGGGATGCTGGGATGCCCAGGTTTGTTTCTCTGCTGCCCAACTCCTGCTTGGCCCCGTCCAGGAGATCCAAGCCCACCAGACACCTGAGCTCCCTGTGCAGTGCAACATCCTGGAAAAAGCAACCTGGTGAACAGGGAGATGTCTGCAGCCAGCTGACAGGAAAAGCTAAGCACTGAGGGAGAAGGGAAAGGATCTGAAATCTCACCTCTAGCCACCTGGAGAGCATTTCTGCTACAAGGAAACAGGCTCCAGCACTGTGGGATGAGAACACGGAGACTGCAGAGCCTGGGGTGTGCTGCAGCAGAGGATGAGTCTGCTCTCCATCCAAAACCACAAGCAACAGCCACGTTTCACAAGCCAAGCAGCTGAAACTCATCCAAAATGTTTCTGGAGTAGATGCAGTGGGATCAAGTTCTGTACACACAAGAAGAAGAAATACTGACAAAAACTGGCCATTTTGTGTTGTCTGGCTTGACAGCTCTCATGTTGCTTCAGATGGCTGTAATGTAAGTAGCTGAAACCTCAAGCTGTTAGATTGATATTTCAGGTTTTCTTTTTCAAGGCAGTAATTTCCAAGAGTTGCTCCTAGACTCCAAACACTTTCCTTCTAGAGCAGGCAGCATTTAAAGTCAACATATAGTCTTTTCCCTACTCAGGCAAAACACAATGAAGAAATAATTAGGAAACTGCTACTCAAAAGAAAATTTGGGATATTTGTTAATATTGCTCAAACTTACAAGATAACTGCTTGTACTTAATAACTTTTTGTTAAAAGAGAATTGCCAGCACTGCATGCAAGAGTGATGGTTACTCTAAAAGGCAGTTAAGAATCCCTGGCAATAAACACTTGAGTAAGTGAATGGAAACAAAGAAAAAAACAAACCCAAAAAACAAAACAAACAAACAAACAAACAAAAAAAGGATGCAAACAAAACCAACATTTTGAACCTTCTAGAAGGTTTTGAACCTTGTAAAATGGTATATACCCAGTATGCTTCTTTTAAGAATCACTTCGAAATAACTGTGTATTGATAAATTCCATGTGTGGATAATAGTATTTTATAATTTCAACAGATACAGAAATAACTCTCTGAACACTTGGACACACTGAAATGCTTCATCTCTTCTCTTTGAAGATACCACATCCAGGCCTAAGTTTCATTTTAAGGAGCTGCTGTACCAACTTAGCAGTTTCATCAGATATTAAAAGCAGATGCCTGTTAGAGGCAAGAATCCCCTCAAAAAAAAAACCCAAACAAAAAACAATGACAGCAAACTATGCCCAGCCCAAATTTGAGAGATATTTTTGTTGTTCTTGTCAGGACTGTAAGCCCAGTAAGTACCATTAAGTACTTGAGGCTTTTGAAGGATGTAGGGAACAGACCAAGTTGAAATCTACCACATTTATAGACACCAGATTTTACTATCTAGCATGAGGCACGTAAAGGGGGAGTAAGACAAAGAGGCCCAGTAGCTCACACACATCTCTTGGGCCTTCCTGCCATCCTAACTCCCAGGGGCTGCAGGAGCTGGGCATTCATTCTCTGGCTGAGCCCCACCACCATTCATTCATGCTGGGATCCAGCTGGGTGCCCACCCTACCCCCACACACCCCACATCACAGAGATTTCCCCTTTGGGGGAAGCGCTGGAGGTGCAGTATTCTAAAGACTACGGATCAAGAGAGTTTATTTTAAGCTCATCTTCCCAATACTTCAAGCTGACTACTTGAAATTCTAATAACGGATTTCCACTTCCAGACCAATGGCAAATGCACCAAAATGAAGATTTCACTACTATTAACAGAAGGAGGAACACATTGCCCAGACAGTGCCAGCAGTCAGTGCTCCACCCCTGTCCTGGGAATCTGGAAATGTTTCAGTGTCAGAACTGGAAGCCACAGAATAAAAGCCCTGATGTTTAGCTCACTAGAAATATTATAAAAATACCCTAGGGACCAGATAATGCTATAAAGAAAAATAAATAAATCTGAGTTGTTTCTAAGATAAATTCATACGTCAAATTCAAATTTGCCTTCAAGAGTAAATAACTTGTACTCTTAAAATCTTATTAACAGAAAGAAAACAGCACACAGTGAAGAGGATTCTTCACTGATGTTTTAGGTTTTCCCATTTGTTTTCCACTAATGCAAGAATCACAAATAGCAAGACAACAACCATTATTACAATAGCTAGGAACACAAAGAAGGAATCCATCTGGAGCAGACAGCTTTTAGCAGTTTCTCATGTGAAGTCTCTTAAGGAGGTCTACAAACAATCCAGTAGATCTTTCAGTTCACTAGCTCCTCTCTGCTCTGTGCAAAATGTACTGCTTATTCCCCCAAGAGTTCCCCATTGTCAGCTGCCATAAAAGATGGAGTAATTTTGAGTAGAGCTGGACATGAACACAATTCAAATCTTTAGTAGGAGCCTTCTGAGCACACTAAGTGCTCACACATCTTTTTAACAAACTGCAGCAGAGCAACAGCAAACTCCTTGTCACTCATTGTCAACAGCAACAGGACCCCTGTATAGACAGGGGAAATAATGTCAAAATTTCAGTTCAGAGGCCACAGCCTGCAAGGCACAAAGGCAGGGAAGGAGGCAGAGTAATGGTGAGTGCACAGCAACTGCAGAAGGTGGGGCAGGGATATTGGAGAACCTCAGCTAAGGAAAAAGCTCATGAGGCAACTAAGAATTAACATAGGAGACAATATTTATGGAAGAGTAATAGTATTAGGACAGTGCTTATCATTAAACCCTCTTCCCCAATTTGACAAATTGACTCACTCTGCATCAGAAATTCCAAGTTTGTTCACGCACACTGCTGAAAAAACAGACACACTTCAGTATTTACAATGTGTTTGATAGGACAACCACTTTATTACAAAGAACAAACAATGCTTCAAAATAAGACTAATCAACTTGTATTGTACAAAATGTCAGTTTCCTTGTAGAGGTCATTAAGTAACAGGCTGTAAGACTAAGTTCACGTCAAATTTGCTATCCTGAAATAATCAGATAACAACAGTAATACTTATTATATTATCTTCAGAGTTTATGGCATGATCATGTGCTCTACTCCAAACTACATTCAAAAGATATTGCTATAATTACTTTGAAAACACAAAGTGTAGGTTATTGTTCACTTCATTTCCACTTTCACAAGAACATTCTGAAGATGAAGCTGTAGCAGTGTCTGCCATGACTGGCATGACTGTGCTATGCTTACACAGTCACAACCTCCCTAAGCAGTTCAGTAAACCTAGACATTTCTACAATATGGATACTGTAATCTGATAGATTTCAGCTTCTGTTACATGTCCTTTAGCAGTATCTGAAATAAATGGATAACATGGAGTCTCAAAGAGCTGGTGTCAACAGTCTTCTAAACTTTAAAATTGAACAATCAATATTTGTCTGATATCTAGTTGATAGGCAAACAGGTGGGATTTAGACATTATAAATACAGTTCTAAAAACAGACCACAAAGTGTATTTTACAGTGTGTACCACAATTTCAGTTTAAAGTAAAACTGTGAGCAACTGAAGAGTTGCATATGATCACTATTCAACGTTACCCAACTTGGACAAAAAAGAGAAAGTGACATCTTACGTCAAGTCAGCTGAAGAAAGCACACTCACAAGGAAATTATACTTTCATTGAAAACGCCACAGTTTTACCCTTTGGTAGTCGTGACATACCCACTGAAAAAAGAAATTGTGCAAAGCGTGTGAAACCAAGTGCAAAAAAACTCCACCCAGACACACCCAACAGGTTTTATTCTTAAATAACAACTCCACAATCACAGCTATCAACCAACAAAATCAAAGCCACAAGTGTTTTCTCTAAAGGCTTCTTTCACAGTACTAATAACAAAAAACAAGTTCTATTCTTCTAGTTGACAGTTCATGTGTATGGTACTTTAGTTATCAGACAGTATTGGTAGCGAGATCCTACCTGACAAAATGGACCATTTAAACACAAGTATCTTAAAGCCAGTTAACTTCAGGAAAAGTCCTATACATTCATACTATAAACACTGTTTAAAGTGAAACTGGGATATCTGTTACTGCCATAAGCACGTGATTTTTCTCTGGAGTCAAACCACATGTGTTACTCCTGTGCCACAATTAACACTATTATAGCCATTTATGGTCCCCAGCACTTTTTAGATGCTATTGGAGCATGTGATGCATTGCAATAATTAAGGCTGTACCAGCACTTCGTTATAACCCTGATTCTCAGGGTAGCCAATGCTTGGCTATTAAATCTGCTCTGGGATACTTGAGCTGCTAAATCTCTACCATTTTAGTGATACTTCTCCCACCAAACCAGGCACATCATTGATTTTAGTTTATATATTTACAAATGCTCTTAAGACAAATTTAACTGGAAGAGGCAAGAAATTCTACCTTGATGTATAATCTTTTGGCATTTGGGGCAAAATTAAAGTGCAAAGTATAAACTTCATTGCACAGTAAATAATTTAGATTTTATTTTAAAATAAATCTTATTTAGGTGCCTCAATCTATTCACCTAGTGACCTTGTCCAACTCAGCCATTTTCCTCTACACTTTGGTAAACATAGTTTTATATATAGATACATAAATAGCATTTAAAATGTTTACCTTTATTTCACTACTGTGAACAATTGTTTTTCTTTTCGCATAGGAATGGATCAACCTATTCCTAGAAGTAATGCTTGTTGATTTTATCAGCTAGCTAGTTAATGTAAAATGATGCATAGTAAAAGGGAGATACTGAACTTGATTGGTAGAATATATTGGTAAAGCAAACAAGCACTTAAGAGGATTAACTGGAATAAATATGTTGAAAGTTGCCATATAACATGTGCAAAATTGCTTACCATGTATTCTAAACTTTGGTTAAAATTTTCAGATTGAAGTTTTACAGAAACATTATGGAAGCAACACAAGTGATTACTAACACAGGAATGAGGTAAGTTATTATTAGTGCAAAAAGCAAGCATATGCTAAAAGCAAAGCATATGGATTTAAAAAAAAAAAAAAAAAAGGAGAATGAATCTCATGGAAGTTTTAATACAAGACCAGAAAGGTCTCTTGTAAACATTGGTATTTACAAGTTTAAGATTTGTACAACTACAAAAGGATAATTTTAAGTAATAGTAGTGCATTTACAATGAATTTGCGTTTTTTGTAATAAGAGCAATGGATAAGTTTATCTTTTTCCTTTTAAATTTTCAGGGGATATCTTTCAAGATTAAGATATTTGTTACAAATAGTAGAAAAAATCATTTCTTTACAAAAAAAGTATATATTAAAATATTTATACATTTTAAGTTACTATATAATAACTGGAAATTTTTGCCTTGTACTCAGGCACCACAATGAAGAATGTGGTATAGGGAACCGAAACCAAACAGAATTTGTTCATATCCCAAATCTTATGAATTACCTATGCAAGATCTGTAGCAATCACGGGGACTCTATTTCAAATACTACTACTTGTGCCAATTCTTTTATTCATTTTTAATTTGAAACTCTGCCTTCTTTACATTTTAACTTATCACTACCAAAAAGAGGTGCTGGATAGAGTGTGATCCTCCACCCCACCATCTCTGATACATTTTCTATAGGATACTCATACCTGAGCAAGGTTCTATAACGTTGATGTGTCAAACGTAAAAAAGGTTATATATTTTTAAGATAAAAACAATGCAAAAATAAAATATTTGTAGCATTTACAAATAGTACAAGAGTTACATTAAACACTACATTCGAAACTTGAGATTTATTAAGTTGCTTCTACTTTGAGCCTGATGTTTTCATATCTGCAAAAAGAAGGAAACATTGTTAAATGTTGCATGATTTTACATGGTGTACAAACATTTTCAAACACTGTTTCAGAGTTCTAGGATATAGATCATGGTCAAAACCCCTGCCAATTAAAGGGTTAAAACAGCATTGAAATACTGAACATCATTCTTCTTCATTGTTACTCCCCATCTTAGAAAAGCATGTATTAGAAACCAAGGAGTGGAGTGTTCAACAGGTGGGTCCCAGCCCACCAAGGTCACCCTTGTGCTGCTACCCCTGCAGCACAGTTCCCTGCTGCCCGAGGGGATGGGCACCCTGCCCTTCCTACCTTCCTCTGTGCCCACAGCACCTCTTGTTGAGCAATGCCAGCTCCCAACAAAGGTAAGCCAGAAATGGGAAGGAGCAGGATGAGAAGCTGGCAAAACTTGAGAACCCAGGTTGGCTTACTTATAAGGCAAGCCAGAACTGACCAGGCTAACACTAATTTTATTTCCAGTGGATCAATTCCCATCCCCAAATCATCATGAACCTATCAAAATTCAAGCCCAGGGACAAGATGACAAAACCTCTTCTGGTTGTAACAGATTTTAAAGTGTATGTGCATCACAAAAATGCACCTTACATCACCCGAAGGAATTTTTCCTCCATTCAGGAGGTTGAGAAGACTGAAAAAAAATCCCTGATTACACTGTATGTCATGTACATGAAGCACATAACTGGATTTCTTCTTACTAGACTGAAAAACTTCTGAGCTGAAGTGAATTCTAGGAAAGTCAGAAGCAACAACTAGAATTGCATAAAACAACTAAAACTACATAAAATGGAACAAAACAACATTTCAAGAAATTCACATACAATAAGTGCTGTGTTGGTTCTGGAAGACATGCACAGCTCCTGCTCCACTCAAATGCTGTGTGTGACAGTGACTTTACCTTGAAGCCACCGGACCTGTGTGGCTGGGCCATAGCCCCTCTCGTTCTTGGCTGAAATTCTGAACACTATGGCAGGCCGGGAGGTGTAATCCACATGGGCATTGGAAAGCTGGGCAGCAGTCACTATGCAGGAAGTTTTAAGACCACAGTATATCCTCATAAATACAAGCTGACTTGGATTTTCCTGTAATTGCGTGGAACGGATAGCTAAGTAGGCAGAATATTCTAAAATATTTCCAGAGGGTGAAGCAGGAGGCTCCCAAGAAAGATGAATGCAGTCTACACTCTGAAGAAAGAGAGAAAAATATGATAGCATGTAGCTAACCATAAATATATAAACAATATTAAAAAAACCCAAATTCTAAATATTATCTGAAAATTCTAACCTACCATCACCACACTGGAGATAAGGATGTGTCTTTTGACTGTTTTTAAGAATCCCTGAGGATTTAATGATGCAAGACTAGAAAATCATGGGGAAACTGCCAGATGATTGAATGTATATCTGCTAACATGAAGATTAACTCTTAAAATAATTCTTTTTGGCAAATTTCTTAAAGAATATTATATTGAGCAGAGTTAACCAAGTAAGCATTGGGTACTATTCTATATGACAATTCAAGCTTAAAAATAAAACCAACTATAACCAAGAGTTCTGAGATTATACCGATGACCAGAATTTTACACATCAGAATTACCTATATTTCTCACCTTGGTGATTTTGACTGTTGAAGGAGCTCCAGGAAAACCTGGAATGCACGTCTTGAATTCACTGATTTTACTGAAAGGCCCAACACCACAGCCATTAATTGCAGCAACTCTGAACCTGTACACTGTGCCTGGAAACAGATCCTGTTTCTTAAGTAATCTGTAGTCTGGTACATCTGCACCTTCCGCCTGAAAATAAAGCAACATTTGTGTTAATGTTTAAGATATTATAAACACAGGTTAAAAAAGTATGAATTGTTAAATTGAGATTAATTAAGTTTAATTGAAACTGAAAATCTATTTAATACTGCTGGACTTACATCAGAACTTATGGTTCTGACTGACACAATATTATCTGACCTCAAAAAGCTGATCTAAGATGCTATGTGAGACTACATCTCAAGACCAAAAGATTTCCCATTTTTTCAGCCACTTAAATTAAACTGTACCTTGTGGTTATTTTTACTCAGTAAAGTTAAAACAAAGTAGCATTTACAACTACATAAATTATGATTTAGTTAACATAATCTTCAGTCCTAAAAAATATTTTCATTTCAAAAGCAGTTAATTCCTAACATTGGGAGCTACAGTTCAATGTGTAGGTAATCAAAATGTTTTTAAGGAAAAGCACTGTAAGTTAGTAACAAATAGCTTTCTGAAACATTATGCACTACCATACTTCCATGATTAATATATGCATTGATGCATCACTGATCCTTACAGTGGAACTCTTTTCTTACCAAATAACGTGAAAGAACCAATCAATGCAATCAATGTAAACACTGTACAATGTACGGTGCTCTTTAAAACTAAGACAGAATATTTATAGTGAAGTGCTTTCAAAAAAAGGTTTCTGTTGTTTTTGTTTCTGTCTCAAGAAGACACACAATTTTTGTTTCTAGTTAATTAGGATATCACTAATTTACACTTTTACCATCACAACTGTTACATTTTTGCAAGTTTCCCACCCATACTTTACTTGTATCAACTTACATGTACCAAACATTAAGTTAGAAAGATCTAATACAAATATCACTACAGTTCCATATCTAGTCTTTTTAAACAGCCTAACCTATGTTTTATAAGTATCTTTAACAATTTTTATGCAAAGATTCTGAGAACAGAGAAGAAACTAAAACATTTCAATGCTGGACTGCAGTAACATATTAAGAAATCGGGGGATTTTCAGTTTTTAAGAATTTTACTGGTTTGAAAGTTTAGCAAGTTTAGAATTGTTTCCTAAGGCAAGAAATAATATAAGAATTAGTAATAGCAAAATAAGATATTTTGTATTATCATACATAAACAACAAAAGAAAATTCATTAGAAAATAGTAAAAAGAGGTGAGAAACTGGTCAAAAAGTACAAAACTCCTACAAGCACCAGATTCTGCTGCAGTATCAGGAAACCCCATATTTTATTGTGAACTATATAAGCAACAGATTCTGAGATAGGTACATGTGAGTTACATCAGAGAAGCAGCAGCTACCTTGCTATTGATGTTCAGTGTTTCCTCTGGCAGCAAGTAGAACTGGCTCACCACAGCACTGTTGTTCTTAAAAATTCCCACATCATACCACCGGCGGTCCCTGGTTTTCACCGGTGCCGGCGGCCTCTGGGGAGCTCTCTAGTATTTGAAGAACACGTCATGTAGATTACCCACACTTCAATGCCATGGAAAAAAAGTCAAGGCTCTAGTATATGTAAGAGACAACCTCCTTTTATACCAGTGTTACTTTCTTATGCTTCAAATGAATATGCATGTATTATTAAAACACTGTGCAAAACCAATTGGCTCTTGTACAGTTACTCAGACACAGTCTGCCATTTAAAAAGCAACAGCTGGGATGTTGCATCTGATGTTCTGAGCAGGGAGGGGAAGAAGCTTAAAGCTGTAGAACTAGGTGTCTGTAGCAGCATGTAGTTGTGAGTTAATTTCTCTCAGAGATCAAGAAGCTTCCCAAGGTGGTTCAACATCAGCAGCTCTCCCTGGGGCTCAGCTGCACCTCAACATGCTCTTTGTCCGGCACTGCGGAACTCGTCTGCAGCTGAGAACAGCCCTCTGCTGTGGCGTGGGGCCATGGGGATGGAGGGTGTGCAAACTGCTCCTGACTGACCCAGAAACACAAACTGGCTTTCTTGCTCGTCTCCAGGCACCAGGAAGGGCACTTGCAGTCAGGTGCCCAGCACAGATCAGCCATGATCCTGCTAGCATGGAAATGGGGCAGGAGCTGCAGCTGCTCTTGGCAGAAGCACACCAACCCGTTATTAGCAGCTGCTTCTCCCCTTTGTCCCTTGCTTTTGATGGCAACAGTGGCACCTTGGGTTTGTGTATTATGTTGTAAGCAGGTGAAATAGGAAGCATTTACTTTTTCAGGCAGTATTTACAGCTTGCATAGTCAGTCCCCATCTCCTCTAGGGAAAAACATCAAGATGTCAGTTAAGTTACGTTTCAAATCTATAGAATCATCAGCTAACACTAGTCTGATCTAATACATACTTAATTTTAAATTCAGTTGTGCATACAGAAAAACTTTTTCACATCATGCAGCAGAGACCATTCCACTGTGCCAGTTGATAAAAATGATTCAACAGCTGAAACATGTACTTGGATCTCCTCCCAACTACACAACTGCTACTTAGACTCACATCTAACTCACAAAATGCAATTAGTTTTACAACAGAAATGTTTACCCCTCTATTATTCACTCCAGGCTCAAAATAAACATTGCTTTTCTTTCAGAAATATAATTAAAGGAAAACAGAACAGCCCTTACAACTAATCAACAGAACAATAGGTAAAGCAATCTGATAATACTTTTTCAGACTTACAGAAGAGTGTGAATCATTTGTCTGTCCAGTATTGACCCTTGTTGAAGGCATGGCAAAAGCAGTTTCAGCAGCTAAAAACAAAATGCTAAATTTTAAAAACTTCAGCAATAGAAAAAAATTAATACAAAACCCACACAGCATTAAAGTTGACCTCAATAGCCATTTACAAGTATTTGTTGCACAAGAACATCTCAGACTTCTTTTGCATGCAGTTCTATTTATAATACAAACTAATTTTGGCTTCTCTCATATTCCCAGAACAATTCCAAGAGTCTAGCATTGGAGGCTGCTACAGATAATGCAAACAGAAGGAAGGACTCAGAAAAATCCTAAAAACTGACAGGACTATGAAATCGATATAAAATATTTGTAAGCAAATAATCTGAATACCAGATTGAGGCACATACGGGGGACATTGTATGAATAGTCTAAGTGTGAATTCTTAATTTGATTGCATTGTCCCTGACATCAATGCAGTCTGAATTTTAAATATAAGCAGTTAATTTGTAAACAATCCTAACAAATGAGAGCAGAGCATTCATTAAATTTAAAATTGAATCAAAAGAAAAAAAAATTAAGCACATGGGTAACACAAAGGAGTATTAGTATTTTATGCTTGTGTTCCTGGGACTTGCTTTTAAAATAAAATACTACTTGGTAAAAATTATACTATATACACAACATCAATATCAGAATACAGTTCTTCAGTTAACACTCAAAACAGTAACAAGCACAGCCTGTTGATATTTGTCAAAAACAAAACTTGAAAAACTACCCATTTATGTTCTGTATTGCTGCTTATTTTGGGTATTTCCAGCAGACTGTGAAGAGGCCAGCACATCAGACCAGCAATGAGCTGGCCACATTAACTAGGCATATTTATTATAGAGGTCAGTTACTTAAAATCCAAATCATCTACGGTTTACTATTTTAGTCTTTTGCTGACTAAATAGACAAGCACTGAATGAAAGCAAATGTGCAATGAGCACTAAAACAGGCTACCACTGATATTTAGGAAATGGACCTCTGCATAAATGAAGATTTTAAAGATTTGCTTACAGGAAACATGATGGTTTACAAAAGCATAGAAGGAATATCCCAACTAAAAGATGTATAAATCCTAGCAGAGATCATCCAGGCTGCACAAGGTCTTCAATTCCCAAAGCCCTATCTACATCCCAGGTACTACTCAAGATGGGAATCCCACTACACTAGAGGAACTCTGATGGCCTTAAAAATATATGGCTCAAAATACAGTATGTGAAACACATTTCAAACCTTCAGATTTTGAATTGAATGTTGTTAGTGAAGTTTCATCTTTAACAACTGCCCCATTTGTACTTGATGATTCAGTTTTAACAGCCTGCTGGGTTACCATAGTTTGTGTGCTGGAGACAGTACTGGATACAGAAGCATCAGGATTTACACTTTGTTTGTCCAAGTCATGTAATTCACCTACATTTGCTGATGTCTGAGCACCTTAAAAAAAAAAGAAAATATTAGCCAGAATTCAGTATTGGTAACACAACAAATCTCAGCTTGGTCTAACAGATTTAGTTTCATATAAAGCCTGAGTTTAGCTCAGAATTAGGTTAGAACAGATCTGATTTTATTGATTGCTAATATTTACTTCAGATTTAACTGAACAGAAGTCTGTCTCCACAGTCACAAACAAATGTATGTAAACAGTTAGTTTAAGCTTGCTGTTTTCTATGTATATGGTCACAAAAAATTAATTTTGGAAAAAAACCCTACTAAAATAAAGCATCCACACAAATCAGTATCACAGATTTGTATCAATTTAAGATAACCCCTGTAGAAGTCTGTTTCTCACTTAGCAACAAGAACGAAAATTTCCACATCTAATTAAATTCCACTGTGAAGAAAATAAAAATCCAACTACCTATAAAATACATTGAAGTCAAATATAAAGATCAGGTGATTAAGCCTGGATTTACTACACTGAACTTAAGGCACTTCCATGAAATGCATAAATCACAGCCTTGCCATCTTTTTCTCCCTCTGCAGTCAGAGAAAAATATGCTTGTCTCTACATTGCCTGAAATTTTATATCAGCCAATAGCTTTTGACGGCTAACAGAGAGACACAGTGTCAGTTTGCAGTTACTATCACCATAATGTTGTAAAATGTCATCTGTCCCTTTTTACTTGATTTTAAAAAATGGCTATTTATGTTTAAATAGGCAGATTTTCCATCATAATAATGAATATATTGAGAATTTCATGTACCTTGCAACATTTCAAACAAGTTAAGATTTCAATTGTCTTCATATTTTCTAAAAATACATTCAGTAATAACTAACACAAATTGGGTTTTTTAAACTTTAAAGAACTCTTAAATAATTTTAAATTACAAAACAGAAACAATCTTATTTTATGTTTTTGAGATGAATTTTAACTCTCACTTGAATTTTTTTTTTCTATAGTCATCTTACTTGAAGTACAAACAGGCAAAAGAGAAGGGGCATTTGATTCTTTGAATCCTGTAGCATCTGCATGGTTTTTCATAGTCTCCTGTATAACTTTGTTTTCAGGTGCTGCAACCTTTTCTTTTCCTTCTACTTTTGAACTGGATGAAAGGGCAACTTGGACCTAACCAAAACAACACATTTGTTAATATTAAACTGCAAAGTTCAGAAATTTCAATTGCAAACACAGCATGAAAACAACAATATAAACTCCTTCAACAATTCCCCCTAGCACTCTAAATTAGACTAAGAAATCAATCTCTCAATCCTTACCTTAATCATTATAAAACAAAGACTCAAACACTGTGTTGACTTGGAAGAGTCACACTAAATTTTATCATTACATGGAATTTCATTGCTGTGTATATTTAGTTGTATATTTAGTCTACTGGGGGGACTACCAGAGATGGGGAAAATCACAATTACAGAGTCTTTCAATCTTTGCTTTCCTGATACAATGTACTTGAGATATTTCTATTCTTAGTGAAATTTATGGTACTTCTACATGTATTTTCTTGAGGAATACATTATGATCTATGACTTCACAAAGAAAAGGTCCAAAGTTCTAAAAATGGGATCCTTTTGCCAGAGTTGTTCCTCACTCTTTCTGTTAAATTGGCAAAACAGAGGAACATGCACAACTGCACACCAGACAGATAAGAACTGGATTTAACCTGCTGTAGGAACTTATAACTAAGCAGACTAGCATAAAACTAAACTGGACTAACAAAGAAGGAATATGCCTTATTCTTTTTGCTCCCCACATTAATGGGAACCAATATTTTGAGGATTAATAGTATTCCTACTGGTGGCAGGCTCCCAGATGGCATTGTGGAAGACAATACAGTTGCAATCCCCTTCTGGATTAACAAGAAGAGGACTTGAAAGATTGTCTCTCAATCATAAAAGCAAAAAGTATATAAAAAAACAGACAACTACTTCAGCAGGTGTCTTTTTGTTTTATTTGCATTTTTTTCTAAGACCTAAAAATTATGCAGGGAGTTTTAAAACTGAGAAAGTGTTCTGGCAGTTCACTACCTTCCCACATGAAGCATTTTTCATTTTACACTTACATTGTTAGGAATGAGATTATTTGTTTGGCTGGGATGATCCACCTTCGTTTCTGGATAAGGGACACTAGGCAATGATTGTGGACTCTGATGGAAAGAACAGCCACCTTGCAGGTAAACAAAAGCAAATTCCCATCAGTTATGTAAAACTTAATATTATGATTGTTTTAATTTATTTCAGTAAGGAAGAGGGAAGGCAAGGTTGCTTGAAGGAAAACTTTGTTGTAAGTCTGAAATGAAACTGTATGACCAAACATTCAAATAAAATCTCTTCCTCACTGCTTCCTTTCTCAACTTGTGCCCAGCATTCTACAAATATCTTCAAAATTCAGAGAGCTGGCCAAAATCAACAGAAACAAGTGAAAGGGGAGTTTTCCGTAATTATGATGCAGGCATTTGGAGAATAACCAAAGAAACAGGGTCTCTCCCTCTCTCACAGAATGGTTCTTTAAAAACCAAACTCATATTTATTATTTCTGCAACCCTCCAGTGTGCCTGTGCACAAACATTAGTGTAATGTGATCTGACTGCTACCTTGTGAACTCAGCACTGATGTCTCAGGAACGCCAGTACCAGGAATTCCAGCCACCGGTGGCACTGGTGAGTCAGCATGTAACTGAAGAAGATATCCTTCAACTGTAGGTACCTCATCCCACTTCAGTTGAAAAGAGTTGGTTGTAGCTCTGATCAGCTGTACCTGTGATGGTGCTAGAGGTCTCTCTGCAAGAAACCAATAAAACACAGATGGCACGTTAGAAATTGCCCTCCCTTACCAGTTTAGTCAATAGCTGCATATTGCAAGTAAAATCAGTTGCTCCTTTTTCACTAATGTACAATATATACCAGATTCAACAAGAAACAACTGTCAAAAGGTGGCAAGCCAAGTCAGAAAATTATGAAGTGTCTTTTCAAAGTGTTCAAAAATGCTCCAGTTCTGATGCATTGTTTTTAATGGTTCTTCCGCTGCCAGTAGGCCTTTGGGTTTTAGCTACATCATTGTAGGGATTACAGAGACAGGAGATCCTTGTGCTTTCCTGAAATGCTGCAGGTAGCTCTTTGGCTCCTAAAGCTTTACATATTCCTCTAATTCCCAAATTATTCCTCTTCCTTTCTGCTTGCTCTGTATAGCTGAAGTGAGCTTTTGCTCTAACTTCTGCACAGGCTGAAGCCTAGACATGACTAATGCCAATGGCTTGTTCCTCTCACATGCCTCTATACCTGACCAGACTGTAATCTTAAGCACATCCCTCCCCTGCTACTCTTTTTCATTTTCTGACGGAAAAATGAAACAGGGAAAAAAAAGTTTTGTTCTAATTCCCTCTCTCCAAACACCATCTCAGTGTCCTGCTATCAATGAAACTACTAAGGTAATTAGTCTCCAGAATTCCCTTCATCTCAAGACCATTTTGGTCCTTTCTTATATTGAAGAGTATCTTTTTGCAGTCCAAGAGATGAGGAAGCAGCAGCAGCAATGATCCCAAGAGAAGAAGGGATTTGGTAAATAAAGTAAGTAGTAGCAGAAAAGATCACTAAAAAGAGAGGCCAGGAACCCTGAGTTTAGAACAGCCTTTAGCATCTTGTATCAGCTGACTATGGCATGCAGTGCAGAATTTAGCATAAAGTTTTTTCAGAGACTTTAAATAAGCCTTCCTAATTTTTTCATTTTAAGTAATAGCCTTTAAAAAACCAGCAATGAAGCATGATTTAAAAATATTTTTTAAAATGTAAATAGTCTTCGAGTTTGTTACAGCTTTAATGTTTTGACCATCAATCACGCAAACTTTCCATATGTTAACAAAACACAAGACATAGTACAAGTCTCTTACCAGTATCAAGGTACCAAAGATCTTTGCAGCAAACTTGATTGTTCCAAGCTTTTCTGTAACCATCTCTACCACTCCAGATATACAGACGAGTGCCAACAGCTACAGCACAGTGTCCTGCTCTTGGCCCTGGTAACAAGTTACTTTTGTCCTCCTGGCAATCTGAGATCAGACCTATCCATTCTGTGGTATCTAGTAAATGAAACTCAAAGCATTTAGTTTCTAGATGTTTTCCAAAACAAGACATAAAGATGTTAACACACTTAACTGCTCAGAAATAATGAAAATAAATCACCTGTTTTTATAGACAACTGTATTTAAAGTGGAAATATTATGAAAAGAAGGTCGCTTTCCAATTAGTGTACAAGATAAAATCAATTCATACAGGCTGAATTTTCTGACCTCTGGTTATCTCTCTCAGGCAAATAGATCAGAAGTTGAGAGTTCAGGGATAGTACTACCATGCTTAGAAAAAACTCATTTCAGAATCTGCCCCCCGTGTTCTTCCATAAATGAAAAAGGAGTATTTACATTACTTAGTATTAAAGTTGTAATAACAAAGATTTGAAAAAGCAAACCTGCTGAATCTTCAAAGAAAAATAATAATTAAAATATTACTTTTCAAGTAACATGCAAAAAACTAGCAACTTCTTTATTCAGCCAGGATTACAACTATGTATCCCAACCTTTTCTCAAGGTCTTCAAAATAGTTACTCTACTCTGTTAAGAAAATATCAATTCCAAATACCCGCTCCCAGAAAGGCAGAAACACTAACCCAAATTAAGGTAAGAAAATGAACCGGTGCACTTCCATTCACCATCAGTAGCAGAAATTTCACCTCCTGCTGACTGTGGAACCCATCCACCAAAAACATACATTCTGAAATACAGGAAAAGAGGGAAGAGGGAAAAAGAAAAGAAACACCAATTAACATCTAGATCTGCTACATGTGCTCTCTCAAACTAGGATAAAAAAGATTTCCACTGTGTTACAGTTTTGGTTCACAGCAAATTTTATTTGTATCTACTGTCTTTATGAAGTACAGTTGCAGACATCTACCTTCTGAAATTTTTGAGCAAATGGACTGATTGAAAAACCCAACCACACAAAAAATCCTGGAAACTCCTCAGACAACTTCCTAGAAACAGAAGTTAACACCTTAACATTTAGCTAATAACATCATGCTAATGCTCTCCAAACATCCCACAGGTACAACAGAATTTCTACAATCCTTTTCTGCAGACCTCACAGTAAGTCATGCTCAAATAAGATGACCGGCATCTAACTCAGATACCAAAATTTAAAAATACAATGCAGGCTACAAACTGCTAACATTTTAAGTAATGTGTTATTTGGACATATTATAATATGTCCAATTGCTGTTGGATCAGAAGATATGAAGTTTTCATACTTCTTTACTCCCTTGCCTCTTTATCCCCATGCCAGCTTGTAAATTGATATAAAATGGACTGAAACACATGTTTAAAAATCCATTTTATTAATGCTACCTGCCAAAACAAACCATATTGGCAAGAAATGGAGTAATGAAGGACAGACTACAAAAAAAGTGGGGAATAGTTTTGTCTGGAACTAGTTCTACTCTTTGAGCAGTTTCTTTGCATAGCTACCTCATCTGTGTCACACATACAGAGGCACTGAAGCTCACTCCTGACAGAGCTCAGGCCCAGCTGAGGCTTCCCCAGAATGCACAAAGGTGCTCCAAGAAGCCCAGAAAGCTGCTGGTGGGTTGGGCAGATTGTCCTGCTGGATGGAAACACTGACAGTTTGCTACCCTTGAGTTAACAGCAGTGCTGAAATAGCAGGAAACTACTCTACAGGGCTGATGTTTGTACTGAGCAGTAGTGGATAAGCATCATCATTCTCCTACTAGGTGTACCTTTCTAGAGTTGAGCTTTTAACAACAGACATACTTGTTTCCTATTACATTGGCCGTATGGAGACTGCGAGGAAGTGGTACTGTCCCTTTGGTTTCTGGTCTTGACCAGGTCATGGTTTCTAAAAGAAAGAGAATAAAATCCTCAAAAAAAAAAAATTGTCTTGTTGCTACATATTTTACTACCTGGATTTTAGGATGGAACGTACCTCTAATATACAGCAAAGCTAAATTTCACCTTTTTAAGATGGCTGCTTTAAGAAAGAGGGTGAAATAACAAGCACTTGGAACTTCTTTTAAAAAAATCACAGGAAATACACACAAACTAAAACATAAATTATGGTTTCATTATGGTTATTCAACTTTGTTTCACTAGAGTGCTTAAAAGGCTATGATACCCATCTCACAGAATACTCATAATCAGCGAGCATAATATATGCAAATAATACTGTATCTATTTAATTCCAAATATTACAAAAAGTTAACATTATGGTGTCAGTCTCAATAATATCCCGACCACAGCATGCCATTAACCATTTTATACTATAATTTTTTTCCCTCAGCCAGTAAGCACTGACTTCTGCTGACAAACCAACTCACCAATGTCCAGTTCCCAGAGATCATTAAGTCGACAGCCACACATGCCTCCAAAAATATACATCTTTGGGCTTCCCACATCTTTTCTGCAGTACACAATGGCTGTGTGAGATTCTCGGGGAGATGGCAAGATTCCTTTGGTCACAGGAATACTCCAGCCGACCACGCCAGACCCGTGTTGCAGCTCCAGTTCATAGAAATCATTTAAATATCTAGGGTATTATTGTCAAAGTATGAAAAACTCACTTATAAGCATGATGAGAAGTGCGCTTTAAACCCTGACCACTTCCAAACAATACAGACTTCTGTCTTGGGAGGGTGTAGAGTTTTAAACTCTCAAAACATTTGATGCATTGTGGGCAGTACCAAATCTGGATTTAAAATGGATTTAAAACAAAAAAAATTAACAGTTATAACTTGTTGCTTCTGAGAAAGCATGCTCTCTTATTTGCTACGCTGTATTACATGAAAGAAACATGAAAACAACATTTCTTGTAAAAATTGCTACATATGGACACCTAAAATAAACTGCAAAGCTGTGGGAAATACATGATGACAAGAGGTATTAGAGAGAAATTTCTGCAGCTCTTAAGGCAGCAGAGGTGAGAAGAAGCTGTTTTTTTTTTCTCGTGTCTTAAGGCTGGTCAATGCACAATTAGCCATTTGTTGCTGAATCTATCAGCAAGTTATTTTTAGATAATGGTCTTTGAATCTTGGCATTCACACCAGATACCTCTTGTTTACTGAGCTTGAAATTACCAGTTTATAGCTCAGTGGATATAAGTGCTCTGAACTGCAGGTGAATGTGGATATAAAACTTCAGCATTATAGCATAGTTTGCTGACAATAATGGCAACTTCAGCTGTTACTGTAAAAAATTTCCAGATGAATTCGTTACTGGTTTTCACAGCAGTACAGAAGAAACATCCATCATGAATTCCCTGATGACTCATGAGACTCTGCTGATTGAGGTAATTCAAACAGACAAGCCATTCTTAAAAACATTGCCCAAAATAATAGAAGAAATACCAAAGCCTACTCAGGTTTCCCTACAAAAGTGTCAGAGCTGTCACTCAGTGTTCCATATTGTGGGATTAACAGAAGGAATACTTAACCTTCTTTGTATGTAACCCCTTCACTGCACAAATAATCCAACTTTGAGAACCTGGTGTGCAGGACAGCCTGCCTAGAATGTTCCTTTTCAAAGATATCAAATCTAGTAATTTCTTTATAAAGCCATTAAATTCAAAGATAAATCAGCATACCTGGGAACATTATTGTTTGAATCCTCACTTTCATTTGCCAGGCCACCAAATAAATAGCACTTGTTACCATACAAAGAAAAGCTGTGGCCAAGCCGAGGACAGGGTGGAGAACCGTTCGAAGGAGCTTGAGGTTTCACTTTTTTCCAGAGCCATCGACTTGCCTTGAAGACAAGAAAAATGTATTCAGAAATAATTTCATTTATAGTCAGTCATAACAAGTAGACTTAATATAATATTAACATTTGTATATTTTCTGAATTCTATTTAAGGGAATGCTGGGCTTTTCTTATGTCATTCATTAAAAGGGATGTGTAAGAGCTAACCTTAATAAAATTTTAAATATATTATGCTTTATTTAGACTAGATGGAAGTCTCTATTTCAAAGTTATTTAGAATAAACTTTAGATTCTTAAGATGGAGAAAATCTTTCTGAAGAGCAAAGATCATCTAACTTTCCTCTGCAGTTGGTAAAATAAAATGTGTTTCTTCATACACAGATAAATAAAGTAATCTTGAAAATCAAAACATATTCATACATTTCCTACCTGCAATTCATATAAATCATTGCTATATCTTCCATATTCAACCATTCCTCCAAAAACTAGTATTCTGGTACCATCACAAACAAATCCATGTGCTGCACAGCCTGGAGGAATATCTCCTCTTACAGCAGGAAGGAACCATTGATTTGTAACTATAGCAGGAAGTAAAAACCAAAAAAAACAGAAAAAAAATATTTAAAAAAATATTTCAAACACTGAAACATGTATTTTTAAACACTTCTGCTTTCTGAAGAATTACCTTTTATCTGCAGTTAACTGTGAATGGGCTATTTGCTTCACACTAAGTTTTAAATGAATCATATTTTTTTTTAATAAAAAGAAAAGCAAACACCTCTATCAAACCAATGTAATTCAGTATATGAATGAGCCCATGAGGTCACTGTAACTAAGTCAGTCATGAAGGGTCATCCAGCAATTTAACAGACTTGCCAAGAATAGAGGCTAATGACGAACACAAGTGCAGCTCCACACAAAAGAGATAACTACGCTAACTCAGAGGGAGCTAGCCCTAGAAACAGAATTATTAGAGCTACAGCAGCATGGCACTGTGCCTGGACTTAATAGCCCTATTCAAAAACTAATTACACTGTTCTGGGACCAATTTTAATATCCACAGAGTGCTGCACTGATATGTGGGAGAGGAGAGGCAAAGAGTCAAGAAAAAGCAACTGAGACTTGTCTGATCCAGCTGCAGCATATTGGTGCCTAAACTGTTCTGGAATTTAAGAATTACAGGGGACAATGTCTTCTCTTTCCTACACTTTAATAAGAGCATGAAGAGGAGAAGTAGGAAATTAAAAGCTTCCAGTGAGAGTTGCTGCAGGGGATTAAGAGGCTCTCACTGTGTGCCAGCTCTTCGAAAATCATCACATGCATAGCAAGGGCCATGGATGATATCCCACACTTGGGCAGCTCAGGTCATAACCCTGCATCTTAAATCCCAGAATAAAAAAGTTCAGTTTGGGCCAAGCACTTGTCCAGAAACTGGAACAACTGAGTCATGATCCCTTTTGTCACTGCTGCAAAGGGGAAACATCTTAAACAGAAAATCTGCAAAGAAAAAAAACAAGTCATGGTAAGACTCACTCAAAAGGCACCTGTCAGAACCTCTGCTCTGATGGCATAACTATGCTGAGTTTTCTTTGGATTACTTTTCCAAACAGAAAGGTTAAGAGTTTTTTTTTTCCTCTCCCCTCAGAAATACGTAAGTACTTCAGAAAATATTACAGAAATACGTAAGCATAGTAGATCTTAAAGCTATCACAGAAAAATCTGCCGGGAAAAACCTCAAGCAGCCAACACCGGCTGACTGAGCAGCACAGATCAGTCACTGAACTCTCCCGTCTCGGCCCAAGCCCTGAAATTACACGCAAGTTTTCCAGCCTCATCCAGCATTCGGTACAGTAACTATCTAGGCGCCTAATCTTTCACAAATAAAATCGGTCTTGGGCAGCTTCCTGTTTGGAAAGGCTCCCGATGCCAACACGTTCACTTTTCCAAACAAGATTCCCATTCCAGCGCGTTCGGCTCCCGTGAGCTGCCGCCACCAGAGGGAGGGAGGGGGATCGGGCCACTCGTAGGGACTAATCCCGCCTGCCGCCATTCAGCCGCGACCTGCCAGGGGAGAGAGGCTCCGCACCCCTGCGCGACAGCCGGGGAAAGCAGAACCGGGAGATTCTCGGGGTCGCTTTTCCCCAGGAAGGACCACTAACCCCGCACCATCAGCCGGGGCACAGCACTACCCCAGGGGAGACCCCTGGCCCAGGCGTATTTCCCGCCCCGCCATTTCGGCTCCGGGCAGCTCCTCAGCCCGCCCGCCGCCCCCTCGGCCGAGCCCCCGCGGGCAGCGCCGGGGGAGGGCGGGAGGCCCGGGGGGGATCCCCGGCGCCCTGCGGAGCCCGGTGCCACCGGCGGTCGCAGACGGGACGGCCCCACCACTGTCCCCCCCGCCCCGCGGCGCGGCCCCGCCCCGCGCACCCGTGTTGTAGACGTGCAGCTCGTCGGCGATGCCCTCGTTGCCGCCGCCGAAGATGATGAGCAGCTCTCGGATGGCGACCGCGCGGTGCCCGTGGCGGGAGCGCGGCACCGGCCCCGTGAAGGAGGACACCCGCCTCCAGCTCAGCCCGGCGGCGGCCGCCGCCATCTCAGCGCCGCTCCCACAACGCACCGCGCGGCCGGGGCAGCCCGCCGGGGAAGGGGGAGCGCTGACGTGAGGGCGGCGGGTCCGTGTCCCGCCCGTGTCCCGCCCCGCGGCCGCCTCCGCCGCAGCCCCGGCTCGGCGCGGCCCCCTCCGCTCCTGCGGCGCCCCGGGCCCGGCCGTGCTCCGGCGGGAGCCCTTTGGAGGCGCTCCCTGCCTGCAGCGCCCGCCGCCCGGGGGGTGTTCGGGCACCGCGGAGGTGGCGTGTGCTTCTCCGCTTGGGGCACCCGCTCTGCTGCTGAGCCCTCAGAAACGTGTAGCACATCCCCTTTCTTTTTTAATTTTTTTCTTTTTTTTTTTTTTTTTTTTTTTAACTGGCTAGTGGTAGGCGAGGCATCGCTGCTGCCTGCGAGGTGCGCGGCGAGAAAGAAATGAGTTTCTGTTCAAGCACTGAAGGCTGGGATTAGCAACCGAGGTTTCGGTTCTACAGCTGGCAGCGGGTGATCTGAGTGAATTCGAAGGTCTCCGTCTGCAGGAGAGAAGCTGCTCTTTCCTGTGTGAGGGGCGTGTTGTGTGAGAATATATAAACGTGTGGGGCTGAGGGAAATCCAAAGAAGGTGTATCTGGTGCTAAAAGTCTCTTCTCATTGTTGAGTTCTACACAGTAAGCGATGATGCTGAGATGTGTAACTGAGGCTGGACATTAGGAGGAATTTCTTCACAGAAAGGATGATTAGACATTGGAATGGACTGCCCAGGGATGGTGAAGGTGTTTGAGGAAAGACTGGATGTGGCACTTACTGCCATGGTCTAGTTGACAAAGTGGTGTTTGGTCGTGGGTTGGACTCGATGGTTTCAGAGTGCTTTTATAACCTCATTCTCTGAAGGCATTACTGCACGGCCAGTAGTCCCAAGGGTTCTGCCAGGTGAAGGAGCAAGTCCCAGTTCTGCAGGCTCACATAACTGTGTGCTGCTTAGATCTGTTCAGATTCACATAGAAATGGAGGGGAAGGTGAAAAAAACATGGATGAATTTTGATGAACATAAGCTTAATACAATTTAAATATTATAGCACAGAAAAATACTAATAGTTGTGGCCATCTGCCCAAAGCATATAACTGTATGTAGAATTCTTCATTTAATTTTTGTTCTAGCAGAAGATGGATTCCTATACAAAATCAGACACAGATAATAGAGTTTGGGCACATTTTGAGAGACACAGTGGAAAACTCACATTTTTTGCTCCTGCAAATGGAACAGAAATCCTCATTTAAAACACTAAAAATTTTTAAGACCTTTACTGATTACTGCTCATAAATTTTGCTCTGTCTCACGATAAAAATATGAAAAATGGTTTAGAGTTGAAAATGTTTATTATCATTCCTTTCAGTACTCACAAAAGTCTTGTGACAAAACAGTGGTTTACCACTTAAAAACTTCATTCCTAGAAGGGAGGGACTGAAATAAAATAAGAGAAATGCTGTACAAAGAAAGCTGCAAAAGCATTCCAGGAGAGCTTAGGAGGCAGGGTATCACCATGTGCTGGTTACCTTGAACCAAGATCCTTTTGAATCTAAACCAAACCTGCAGATTAAATGCTCAAAGATTAGGAAATGAGATGTTTCAAGTCAAAATGCATGTTCAGAGATGACTTTTGCAAGTTTCCCTTAGCTTTTGACTCTCAATAACTCTGCCAACAGACACTGGGAAAACTTTGGCCTTCTGTTAGACTTTGGCATGTTAACATGTCTGGCTCTTGCACACTAGTTACCTGTTCACATTTACCATAAATAATGACTGAAAACATAACTTGCAGCTAGATTTTGGAAGTAACTTCTGGAAGGGTTTGTTTCCTTCTCTTTCCCCCACTCCTTTAAGACTTTTTGTCTTATGGGATTTGTTTGCAATCTGCTAGCTGAAGCTCTGAGGCAAGTTTGCCAGATCTGGGGCTGCATCATCGCTCTGCACATCTGGAAGTGGTTTATGTGCTCTCATTCCTCCAGTGTAGCGTCTGGACTCTGAGCTATTCCTCAGCAGCAGAGAAAGGAAAGAAAACCAGCACAACTCCAAAGTAAACTTTGAAGAGTACGAAAGAGGAATTGAATCGTAAAACTGTTACTGTGCCCTGTAAGGCCCTTGTGTGGGTGACTTCAAAGGAGGATGGTGATCAAGGACGCTTTGGCAAGAGTGCTTACAGCTGTGGGCTATCTAGGATCCAAGTAAATAGCTCCACAGCACTTCAGGAGAGAGGCATCCCGAATACTGTGCTGCTTTGAAGAGGTAAAAAGACTAATTAAGCAGGAAATATCTAAGCAGTAATGTCACTGTTTTTGAACTTTCCCTTCTGCAGCCCCTCGCTTTGTTACAGGATTTGGCAGCTGAGTTAGGGACTGCCAGGTTCCAGGAAATAATGTCTACAGTCAGAAAAAAACGAGTAAATGTTTGCAGGGGAATAAATATACCTCTCTTTCCTTAAAAATCAGTAGGTAATCAATTGGTGTTTCAGAGGCTTAGGAATGTTGTAGTTGTGGAACTCAGTCTTGTGTGAGAGTCTGTCTTAGGATTTTCAAGTTTAAAACATATTTCAGTTTATGTGGATTTAATAATTTCTGGAGATAACATGAAGCTGTGGCTGTGCAGCTCTCATCTTGCAGTGATCATCAGGACTGTTTGTGGCTATTGTCACAAATGCTAATTCAAAGATAGAAGGCAGCCTTGAGGAAATCAGGGGAAGATTGTGTTCAGCTAAAGTGTGGTTAGAAAATTAGTCCAAGAGTGTAGCAGGTTCTGTTGTCTCTCTGCTTACCTAAATGAGTAAAGTTTTTAAAAGTAAAAGAAAACAATATTTCTTTGTAACGCGTGAGAGAAAGGCTTTCTCAGCTGTGTTTTTTCCCGACAGATAAGCTTGATTTCCTCTGTCTAAATTAATGCCACATGAAGAGAATGGTCTGCTGGAATGTAGATAAGTAGTGCAGATGTGGAAGAACTTCCAGAATACTCCTTTCTCACTGTAATTTAGTCATTAGCTGGGACTTAAATACATGTGACTATAAGTGGCTTGTAAACAAAGCCACATCTTAGATTTTTATATATATTTTTGTTGTTGTTGTTTAACTTGTTGGTCAAAGTAGACACTAATTTAGGATGCTGCCTGAACTTGAGTACTAACCAATGAGAGGTGGTCAGTCTTGTGTCTCAGATTTCAAGAATTCTTGCTGTTCTGTTTGATTTGTCGAGGAGCTGGAACAAACTTCATTTTTATGTGTGCACAGAATGCATTTTATATCTTCATCTGTGCAGTAATGTATCTATATCTGTATGTGTGGAAACAGGAAAAAGGTCACACAGTTGGATTTTTCTCTCCTCCCCAGTTTCTGGTGCTGTTTTTTACCGGTGGTTGTTGTTTTGGTTATGTGGTTTATGTTCTCTTTCATAAACAGTAGTTTTGGGTCCAGAATTCAAACAAATGTTGTATTTCTCATAATCCTGTACTTTAGGGATTATGTTCTGTCTTCTCAGACATGGCTGCTCTCAGGCCTGGACTAGAAACACAGTTTTAGGGAAGGCTACCTCCTTTTCTTCAGCATCACGAAAAATGTGCACAAATACAAGCCACACTACACACACTGGAAGAATATGGCTGTAAGAAAATACTCTCACTGTTGCTTTGAAGTCTTTTGAGAATCTAGAAGACCCTGCCCTGGTATAATATTCCCATAGGTTTGGGAATGCATACTCCAGTAAGAGATTAGCATTTGCGATAGTTACTGCATTTGAGGTGAAATCAGAGATAAACATATTTATAAATTGCATTAGTGGGTGTTTTAATACTTCTTTGCACGGTATCTTAAAAAGTTGTAAAAATCACCTACTGATGTGGATGATTAAATGGGATTTATTAAAATGTTTTTATAAACTATTAGTTGCTTAAATTATTAATAAAAATATTACTAACACATAATACTAGGGTTAAAGTAATCTGTATTTGTAATTTGTAAATTTGAAAAAAAATAAAAAATGGTATTTACAGAGATTAAGTGCAGTTTTACTAGTTCAGTAACTTGATAACACTTGATAATCCAAAATGTACTGATTTAACCGCTAGAATTAATTTCTGGCATTAATGATGTTTCTCTCCTTTTTTTTTTTTTCTTTTAATTATTTTTTTATTTTAGTTTACCACAGATCGCAGTTCTCATCCAACAGGACACATGGCTCTTTTAAAGAAAAGTAAGAGATTAAAAACATTTGAAAGACATATTTTTTTAAAGTAGGAAAGAAATGTCAAATCCAATTTTTCATACAACTGTTGTCAGAGTTGCTTACAAATTTATAGTTCTTGTATTGCTAAATTATACTTAACTTTAAGTATGCAAATAATTTTTTTCCTGTTAACTGTGTCAGATAAATGCAACCATAATTCACATTAATTTAAAATTACTCACTGCTTTACTGCATCAGGCTGGAGATTATGAAATTTCCCACCAATAATGCAAGTAGCTGCTATTTTCATATGAATTGTGCCCAGAGCATTGAATGTGAATTTTACAGATCTCTGCACATTAATGCTGTTCATACTCAAAATTGAGATATGGCCCCAAGAATTTTAGGGTTCTTATCCCCAAGAGGTCAGTGACTGAAAATGTTTTTTTGCCTTTACTTATGTGCCAAACATTTCTCAGAAGTCAATGGGCTTTTTCCTCAGCTGGGTTAAATTAGTGCAGGTTTGGTTTACCAATTTCAATCTAGTCTCATGTCCAGTTGGCCATTTTGATTAAAAGAGTTCAAAACTCTGTTCCCTTTGCTCTTTTAAACACCTTAAATACATTTTATGGTGGTGTAAAAGGAACAAAGTAGTCTGAAACAAAGAACACCCATCATCAAAGTAGCTGTTGATGAGGGCAGTGTTGTGCTTGTGTGAACTGTCCCAACACCTGCACATGCTTGCTTTGTGTTGAATGACTTAAACTTGTACAAGACAGTCTTCCAGGAACTATAAATCAGAATATACAGTCGGGTCTTTGCCTTGCTTTGATTTTACTGTCAAAATAAGTATTTTCAAGTATTTTGAAACATTCCTGGTTTCAGTAGCATGGTGGGCTTGTTTTTCTAGAATACAACGCTCAAATACACCTTCAGGATCTGAACATTGAAACAGATAAAAATATTCTCCTGTGTCTGAAGCTTTATCTAGGAAGCATGACAGAATAGAAGGGCTACATAAAAATAATTAACTCATTAAGTGAGTGTAAACAGACAATGGACTAGCCAGGAAAAAATGTCCCAAGCTCCTGGTAAAATTCAGAAACAGGTGAATTTTCTAACATGGATAACTCATATATTGGGAGTCTTACAATTTAGTGAGCAAATTAACCATGACAATTAGGTAGTTGGGGATTACTTTAATAAGGGAGAGTTACTGTTGTGTTTATAACATAAAATTTTTAGCTTGATCAAATAACACCAGAAAAAAGCAACAAATACAGGTTATCAAATTTTTCTATCATCTGTGCTGGTTGCAAATTGGATTTTTATTTTTTTTAATCAGATACTTGGGAATTAGCTGTTATACTGATTGTTAACACATTCTCCCTCTTGTTTCAGTTAACCAGATCTTACTGTTACTTCTTGTCTTAACTGTGTGTGCTATTCTGTATAATAAAGTTCACCAAGTGCCATTGGCATTAAGAAATGAAACGGGTAAGTGACTTTAACTTCAGTTTCATTTATGTTCCTGTTCTGTATTCTTCATGTCTTAACTTATACAGCACTTTTCACCTTATTGAATTGTTTGTCCTGCAGTAGATGAGCTACTCACACTGTTACATATAATCTGGGATGAAAAACATTTTGCTTCTGAATTATTTGAATAAAATGATAGGAGATTGATAGTGATGACTAAGAGTTGTAATTCTGATTAAGTTTTTATCCAGATGTCACCGATGTAGATGGATGCTGGAGTATATCCTTACTTGAGCTGAACAGATTAGAGTTGTCAAGTGGTAAACTTTGATCATGACCTGCCTCCTTGGGAATGTTCTTGGCCTGATTATTCATTTCAGATAGACCATCAAATCTTCATATTTACAGCAGAAATTTTAGCTGGAATTTTTATAGTGACAGAAACCTTATAGGGTTAATAAGATTAGACTAGTATTAAATGTTTATGTAAATAGTTTGCTCACTGTTCCCAAGGTAAACAAACACAATCTTGAGATAAATAATTTATTTTCAGTATGTTTTTGTGTAATTGTTACATATTAACTGTAATTGTTATGTATTAACCAGTATAATTATATCTGTTCAAGTTCTGTAAGTTAATCGGTTCTAATTAGGGATGAAAATTTTTAGCACTTTTCTTCATTTTAGCATTAATCTGATTCAGTATAGTTTAGGTTTTTTCCCTTATATCATTAGCAACTTCCTGCTGGTACAAATTTTTGCACTCTTCATTTCAAGCCAGCTTGCCAAAGAAGTGGGACTCATGCAATTGCACTGTCTCTTTGACTTACCTTGTTCCTTTGATAATTTTGGAGCCTATTGTTCAATTTGTACTAAATATAACTGAGAAGTAGAAGTCTCAAAGGTATTCCAACCTCTCCAAATTCCATGTGCATAAGCAGCTACATGAAGGACAGGCTGAATCGTGCCTGTGCTGAGTAGAAGATGCTGGGAACTCTCTTATTTTTTCTGTTTGGAGGCATCCAACAGTCCAGTCAACCTGCAAGTGGTTCTGGATTAACAACAACTCAAGCTGTGTGTTTTACCAGATGGGGATGTGTGCAATGTGGTAAGGAAAAATGGAGTGGTGCTAAAATGATTCCACTGCTTATGGTATACTTACTCATTTTTGTGACCCAGATCTGATGTAAAATGTGTTTGTTTCTTGCAGTGGATTTGGAGAGCCCTGAGGAAATGGAAGAAGAAATCCCAGTGGTGATCTGTGCTGCTGCGGGCAGGATGGGTGCAGCTGTAGCAGCGATCAGCAGCATCTACAGCAACACAGAGGCCAATGTTTTGTTCTACATTGTTGGGCTGAAGACAACCATCCCACATATTAGGTACACACCAGCCTTACTTTGTTTTGGGCTGTACTTAGATCCGTGTTGTTGCTCCGCCTAGCACAGGCATAAGGCTTTGGAGGACTCTTCAGGGAAAGGTAGTGCTATTGGTAGCAACCTCAGGACTCTGTACATGATGGAAAAAGGACCACTTTGTCCTCCACAAGGCACTGACTTGTGCAAAGATGTGTGAAATAGTCAGGCTATATAAGCCCAGAAAGCAGTACAATGACTTTAATTTCTTTCCTTTTCACTGCATTCCTTGATTTCTCATTTCATTTCCTTTCATGAAATTAGAAATCATCATTTCATGAAAGGAAATGAAATCTCAGTATTTCAATGAATATTCATCTCATTAAGTTTCAGTTCATTTCACAGTACTTCATTTCATTGTTTTCATGTCAGAATTCTCTTTCTCAATTTCACCTCATCATATTTTCCTTGCCTTTCTGTCCATTTTGCTTTAATCCTTCATTTCTCATTTTATTTCCTTTCACGAAATGAAAATTCCTCATTTTGTGAAAGGAAATGAAATCTCAAGATTTCAATGAATATAATTACTTGAAGTCTCATCTCATTTCAATGCACTTAATTTTATTCCATTCACTTTCATTTGATTTCATTACATAGTTTTCTTTTTTAATTTCATTTCATTATATTTCATGTCCCTTCTTTTAATTTCAATTAATTCCTTTATTTCTCATTTAATTTTCTTTCATGAACTGAGAATTCTTCATTTCATGAAAGGAAATTATATCCTGATATTTCAATGAATCTAATTTTGTGACGTTTCTGTTCATTATGTTTCAGTGTTAAAATTTGCAAACATTGTCTTAATGAGGACCAAGTTGTGAATGAACACTAAAACATTTCTTAGCAGGTCTCACCTCTGGCTACTTCACTTCTGCAGCCTTTTGTGTCTGCCTTTTGCAAACAATTTGTGTCAGGATAGAAAATAAACAGTGGTGATAAGAAAACTGAAAAAAAGATGAAAATAAAATTAGTTTAGCCTAAAGGAAACACAGTTAGGAGGTGACGTAAAAGTCATCTGGAAGAACATAAAACTGAAAGGAATTTAAAAGACTTGAAAGCGCTGTAGACAGGATAAGATATAATTATCTTTAATTATAGCAAGAAAACTTAGAATATAATTTATTGCAAATAATGGTGAAAGATGAGTTGTTTGGGTACATATGATAGTTTTGGGAGTGGTGTGGGTTTTTTTTTTTTGTTGGGGTTTTTGTGGGGGATTTTTAAAAAAAAATTATTTTAAGAGCAATTTTAACAAAGGTCTGTATGCAATAGCTGTAGACATAAGTGATTCTGTCTTGGGATAGACTAGATCAGGTGAGCTTTCAAGGTCTCTAGTAATAAGTGTCTGTGGATTTAATACTGGAAGTACTTGCCACATGCTTTATATTTCTTTTATTACTTCTTTTCTTTTTATCACAGAAAATGGATTGAAAATTCTAAACTGAAAGAAATAAAATTTAAGGTTGTGGAATTCAATCCTATGGTACTAAAAGGAAAAATCAGACAAGATGCATCACGTCCTGAGCTACTGCAGCCTGTGAGTCAATGAACATAACAAATTGTTGAGGTTGTTAATGCTTATTATGGGTTTTAAAATGTTCTAGATCTGTTCCATTTCATGGAGGGGGTGTGTGTGTATGTGTCTTCCATTGCAAGAACCAATGACCATGAGATGAAATTAGTCAGAGTGACAACATAAACAAGAGATGTTGCATGCTTTTCATGCAATGAGTACATCTCTAGAATTCCTTGCTGAAAGGCCTTGTGGATGTAAAAATGTTCAGGGGTTCGGTCAGGATCAAAGTTCATATTTAGATCACATCTAGATCAGAAAATTCCTTGAGCTGAAAATAGCTGGAAGCTAGGAGAATACATGGAGCAATTGTTCTGGATGCTTGCTCTATTTTTATTTTTCACTGAGTGTCTGGTTAGGACCACTCTGAAGGCAGAGGCTGGGTAAAATTCTGGTCTGAATTCTTAAACTTGTTCTTACATTCTCAGTCCCCTTTCCCTCTGCTCTGTTCTTCAGTGCTGTTGTAGAAGTTATCCCATGTCTGTGCCACCAGTCAAATCATTTCTTTAGAGTGGATTTATGATACCATTACATTTTGAAGTGTTTGGTGTGACGTATACTGTAAAAATGCACTAGGAAGAGCATTTGCAGCAGGTCCAGAAAGGTGCTCCTTCCTCTCTGCTCTGCACTGGTGAGGCTGCATCTGAAGTGCCGTGTCCGGTTCTGAGACCACCAGTACAAGAAAAATATGGACTTACTGGGGCGAGTTCAACCTGGGCTGCAAAGATGATTAAGAGGCTGAATCATCTTTTATATGAGAGTCTGAAAGAGTTGAGGCTGTTTCAGTCTGGAGAAGACAAGATTCAGGAGGTTCTTATCAATCGGTATAAATGCTCAAGGGGAGCAACAAGAGACAATGGGCATGAATAACTTGAAATTCCTTCTGGGCTAAAGAAAAGCCTTTTAAAACCAGGAATTTGAAAGTCTCAGGTTGCCCAGAGAGACTGTTGAGTCTCCATTTGTAGACATATTCAGAACTCAGCTGGGCATGGTCTATCCACCTGCTTGAGTGGACTCTGCTGCAGGTGGGGGGTTCAACAAGGGGATTTCAAAAGGTTCCTTCCAGTCTAAAGGATTCTTTGAGGAAGCAACAGATTTGTTGTAGTGGATAAATAATAATAGCAATAATAGAAATAATACTGGATTTGAGACAGTAATAAAGCTATGGGGGAAGAAGCAAATAGTCACTGATTAGTGCTCAGTAAAGAAAGACATTCCAACTGACTTAAGAGAGACAGAAGCCTGAGACTACTGCATTAAACAGCTTTACCATTTAGCCTTTATATTTTTTTTTCTCTTTAATAGCTGAACTTTGTTCGATTTTATCTTCCTCTGCTTATCCAGAAACATGAGAAAGTAATATATTTGGATGATGATGTCATTGTTCAAGGTAAGCTGTTGTCTAAAAAGCAGTTTCTAACAGAATTAAATCAAAGTTATTGCAGCTTTTACAGATATTTGGAAATATGAGATATAATAGAAACTGAGGCAGCTGCTAGGAATGTTGAACTTAGGGAAAGTACAAGTAATCTGTTTGTATAAATTAAAGTTTGAGGAAGAACTTATCTGCATATGTTTTGCATAATTGTGATCAGAATTGTGGGTTTCATTTTAATTGATTGTGATCAATTGCTGAAAGATACAATGAATTTCACTCAGGTGCTGCAACATTTATTAAGTGTGTGACACGCATTTGAATTCCCACAAATGCTACCAATTCCTTATCCAGAGCTGCTGTTCTGGAGAGCAAGAGGAATTTAATCAAATAAGAGATTTGATTCAAGCTCCAAACACTCAAAATATGGTTTTGAGCATCTTCAGCTCAGAATATAAAGTAATTTTCAGAATCACAAAGATTGCAGAGTTCCTAGTCAAGTGGGAGCAGTTAGAAGACATTCAAATTCTGAAAAAAATATTTTCTTTTTTTCTTATCATCAGTGATCTCTTTTGAAGACCAATTATTTTTTTTAATGATAATTTCTTGTGATTTTTTTCTGTTCTGTTTCCCAATTGTTGGGCTTTTATCTCTGTAGAGCCGTTGCCTTGATGTTTGTTCTATCATACTTTTTTATTATTTTAAAGCACTTTTTAACCAGTGTTGTGCTTTAACCCTGGTGGGCAACCAAGAAAAATTCCCTTTGGAAAGGACTGTGTATAACTACAATAAACTTTTTGGCCTAAATTAGTCTTTGCTGTAAGAACATTAAGACCAGTGAATTTACACATGACAAAAGCATAGTTCTCCACTGCTTTTCTGCACCTTTTTATAGTCTTGTCTCTCTAGGGGCAGATTTCAGACCTCCTGCACTTAAAGGGGTCACTATTTGCTGCTTTAGAAAACACAACTAATCTGTTCTGCCTGTCTCATTTTCATTTGCCATAGGCTTCCTATCACAGTTCTCCAACATGGGTGTTTCCAGTGGCAATCTCTCCTTGGTTTTGTTGTTCTGTCTGTCATCAAAGGGCAGCAGCAATATTTAACTCTTTGAAAGGTTCCATGTCTTCATTTAGACTCCAATTTCACGAGCAGCTCATGCTGAGCCCACCACTTCCCTGTCACCCCTCCCTGCACCTGCGTTCACCGGCGCTGGGCTCTTTCTTTCCCTGGGCTGTCAGCTGATGGTGATTGTGGAGCTGCAGGATAAAGATGCAGTTTCACATTACACCTCATGGTAGGCTGCTGCTGACCAAGTGGACTCTCCTGTCCCCAGGCAGCTCCTCTTATATGTGTAACCTGCAGTGGTACAGTAGCAGAAACAGCTGATTCAGCTGTTTGACCTGGCAGAGGAGCAGCAGTACAAAAAGTAAAGGAGATGAAAGCAAAACTGGAAGCTGTAAGGGGTTGGGATGCAGGCTCACTCGATTGCTGTGGCAGTGCTGTGTTTCCCACCTGCCCTGAAACTGTTCTGGCACATCTTGGGTACATGACAGTCAGGTGATGGTGAGGTGCCAGGCATTACAATGTTTCTCTCCAGCGAGAAGGAGCTGGGTGGGCCGTGAAACCAGCAGGGATGGTCAAGTGACAGGCGCATTTCAATCAGCCATTGCTGGGAATTCAGGTATCTTCCTATGCCATAGCACCAGGAAAAACTTCCTCTGTGCAAGACAATTAAAGTGGCACTTTTGTGGGACTTGAAGAGGCTCAGAAAAATTGCCTGTGCCTTCCCTCCAAAGGCAAGCTCTGTGAATGTACAATTTTGTAACCAGGCTTTTTAACAGTCCTATTGGCCTCTGCTGCAGCTGATTTTGGACAACCAGAATATGAATGTATTGAATACAAATGATAATGTCTGAAGATTGACCTTAGGCATATTACAAAATTCAATAGGGGATATCCATTATCCTATCAGCTCTGTTGCAGTGCAGTAGGAGTTGTCTGATGCTTGTGACCTTTCTGTAAGCAGGTGACATCCAGGAACTCTACGATACTAAGTTAGCTCCTGGACATGCAGCAGCTTTTTCAGATGATTGTGATCTGCCTTCTACACATGAAATGGTTAGAAGTGTAGGAATGCAGGTAAGATGCCATTCTAGAATTCTAATAATGAATGTGTTTGCCCATAAGTGTAAGATTCTATGTGTTTTCCCCAAAATGAAAGTTTTATGTATATAGATATAGATAACTTTGTAATAGTTGTACAGGTAATGAAGGACTTTTTGTAGCAGTACAATTGTGATGCTACACAATTTAGTGTGGGCTACCAAAAGACAAACACTAGGAGGGAAAAGCCTTATCAAACTTCCATGGTACAATAGTATAGAAAATGTAATTTAGTATCTGGAAGTATCCTGCCTTACAGCCTTGCCATATGGAACTCACGACAGGTAACTACCATCTAGAAACTCATCTTTGGGAGACTCTCAGTGAGAGTGAGGTGCATTTACATTTATCTTTATAGAGATTCCTAGAGGATGAACATACCTTTTTTTTATTTCTTAGAACACATACATGGGATTCCTGGACTACAGAAAGCAAGCCATTAGAGATCTTGGCATCAGCCCCAGCACCTGCTCCTTTAATCCTGGAGTAATTGTTGCTAACATGACTGAATGGAAACATCAGCGGATTACAAAGCAGTTGGAAAAATGGATGCAAAGAAATGTAGAGTACGTGTAGAACTCTAGCTTTGCACTTTACTTTTAATACTTGGTTTACAATTTCACTTCCTGTTTAAAAGCTCTTGAAGGATTTTTTTTAACTCCAAGCAGTCTTTCTTTTGAAATCTTATAAAGTGAAGTAACTCATGTTCCAGTATTCCCATCTATTTAAATCTGACCAATTCTGTACCAGGTAATGGCTGCTTGGAGTTTTAATCTTGTGTTCAATCACAAACCCCACTCCAACCTGAGGGACATTGAGAACACGCGGTTCTCATTTTGGGTAACCAGCTTAGCCTGGGATGAAGCCACTGAATAATCTTCCCTTCCTGAGGCTAGCTTAAAGAATGAGGATTGTTTCCTTCTTTGCCTGGGGATTCTCCTGTTGTAGCATCAGCCAAGCTGTAATTGGACACCATCTTTTTTTAAACACCAATAGAAAACACTTCATTTTCTCTAGTAGATGAAATTTTACATGATGTCATTTTGTTATTGACCACAAATAAATTGTGACACAGTTAAACAAACACCATTTTTAAAATTAGTTCCCTGCTAACCTGTATTTGAAAACTTGATGTTTATTTTCTTTCTCTGCAAAGGATTAATTTTAAATTTTCTAAGATAAAATTGATATTGAATAGTTTGTGCTATTTTGCTGTATCCATTACTTGTTAGTTTCCACCTCCTAATGCCTTCCCTTACAATGGTTAGGCATGATCTAGCCCTGGATTTCTCACAAAATTCATAGGAAACAAATTCTTTAGATACTAATTTATGCTAACTAGGCTTTGACAAAATCCAGTTGGAGGTTAATTTAAAGGTCTAAAACCTAGGGAAGGGAGATGGGGAAGAAAGAGGGAATTAAAAACATGGAAAAATGTACATTTTCTTAAGAAACCAGGCTAAATTATGTTTGATTGCTTAACAGCTTTTTTCCTACAGTTAGCTTTGTCAGCCTTGAGAACTATAGTCTGTATGTAGAAAAAATTGGTTTCATGTTGGGTCTGACTACCATTTTACTTGGCAGTGACAGTTCACTCCACGGGAATTGGAGTTGCAAATATAACCAGTTAAAAGCACAAGGAAGGAGTATGCTGAAAACTGATCCATTCAAAATTATTTTTAATTTTGCCAGATACTTACTTTTAATCTTCTACCTTTTGTATTAAAGATTTCTCAAGGTTTTGAACATATTCTTTTATTTTTCCTTTTGCAGGGAAAACCTCTATAGCAGTACCCTTGGGGGAGGTGTGGCAACCTCTCCAATGCTGATTGTATTTCATGGAAAATATTCCTCTATTAATCCTATGTGGCACATAAGGCATCTCGGTAAGTTTAATTCCTTTCTGCGAGTTGGAACTAAGGTGAGTTTGTGAGATTCCAGTGCAAGACCTTTTGTGACTTTACATCATGTCCCACTTATGTGGAAAGAATATATTAAATATCTGAATATAGTGAGACTGAAAAAAGTCAGTCTTGGTGCAATGGAAGAGAAGGGGAAGCCTGGCAGTGGTTGTTGTCAACATCCTGGAGAATGTAGTTACCTTTCAGCTGGGAGTGCTGAATTATTCTAGAAAAAACCTAACAGCTTAGCTGATATGGTAAAATGAATAGATTTTACTTTGTAATCCAATCCCAGCTATGCCAAGATGTTATAAGTGTTTAAGAGGAGAGAGTTGAGAGATGAGACTTGCTGATTTTTTTTTTTCTGATGAAAAGTAAGAGGCATCAAGCTGAAAAAAGCTACTTATCATACAACTGGGTGTAAACTAACATGAAAGTGTACTAACCAGACTTCTGAAAAAAAAGTCACCTGAATTTAACTCACTCTACAGTGTCTTCCATTATCAAAAACTGCATTCTTAAATTCATTTTTTTAAAATTTTTTAATCTACCCATGCAGGTTGGAGTCCTGATGCCCGTTACTCAGAGCAATTTCTTCAAGAAGCTAAATTACTTCACTGGAATGGGAGATACAAACCTTGGGACTACCCCAGTGTCCACACTGATCTCTGGGAAAACTGGTTTATTCCTGACCCTTCAGGGAAGTTCAAATTAACTCGTCCTGATAGCTGATACTGAAATACTGCAAAATGTAGTGTATGGGATGCAATTAATAGTTTGAGATGAAACATGTTGTATGATTAACTGATTTTAGAAAATGAAGTATTTGTTAAAAATATGAATAACTGACCATCAGTTTTGTGTGCTTATGCCAGGAGAGGGAGGATAGAGTGACCAGTACACAGTTCAGATTATCCTGAATTTCATGTAAGTTGAGGAAACAAGTTTACTTGACAATGAAGTATTTTCATTAAACACTTACAGAGGTGAAATTCAGTGCCAGACAGTGAGCTTTAAGGTCTTTCTAAGTAAGATTCCAATGTCTTCTGGTAGAAAAATCTACACAGGAGACAGCTGTAGAGTTATGTACAAGAAGTGTTTAGTTGTCTAGCCCACATTAAACCATCTGAATTGAAAACCTGGGCACATGTTACTGAGTTCTGTTGCATGGTGACTGTTTTTTGGCATTTCTATGTACGACAGATCCTGTAGTGCACTTAGCAAGATGCAAAAGCATATTCCAATACACTGCAGTACAATTCCTGATTTTATTGTGAAACACTGGTAGATTTAAGACAGGTTAAGACCTTCTGTATCACTGTAACAAAAGAGCACCAGTTTTGAGGGAGAATACAGAATTGCAGTATTTAGTGGAATGGTCATTGTACACCCAACTGTATTTTATGCCCAGATAAGCAAGTGGGTGATTCCATTAAGGAAGAGATCTTTCCCTTCCCATCAACCAGGATAGCCTTTCAGGAGTTACAACCTACTGTGCTATGTACTCAGCAGTGCTAATTTCATGCTTCTAATTTTGTTGAAAATAAAACTGAATTGTAACAAATCCCTGATGCGAGATACTTTGAGCACCTGCAGGAAAACATCCATGTAAACAGCAATACATGATACAGTACACTTTAAATAACAGACAAGACAAATCCTATACCTTTCTGATAATATGTGGAACAGCTTTATGCTGCAGCTAATAAACACAATCAGAATCATAATGCACACTCATTTGATTTAAGATTCTCAGAATTAAGCCACATAATTTGGGAAGAAACTGTAAACATCATGCCTGCCTCACAACAGGTTGACAGTGTGTAATCTCTGTAAGAGGTGTTACAGCAGGATTAGAAACTACACTAACCAGTTACACACAATTGACAACTGTCACTAGCTGTGAAGAGAGGATAAATCACACTGGTACAGGAATCTCTGACCAGCATGGAGTGTGGAGATAATGTTTGTGTCTGTTTTCAAGTATGTGAAGCACCAACTGTCATAAGATCATCAAAACTTTAGTGTTTTGATCAGCTTATTGCTTTGACTTCATCTTTTCCTCACATGATAAAAGAGGGAAAGAAGAGGAGAATTAGGCACCAGGATGGAGTCTCGTTTCTTTCTCAGTCACTAACATTGGCCAAAAATGTGTATCATTTAGGCAAGTTCCTCAGAAGAGTTATAGTTCCTACAGACAACTTCTTATTCATGGAACAGCTGTCTCTGTATTCAACTTAGTGTTTTTAAGTGGAGTAAAGGGAACATCCTCTAAGGTCCTACAAATTGAAGAGAACTTCATGTTAAAAACTGCTAAATTGCACATCTATTTTACCCTGTGCTAACTGTACACAATGTAAATAATGTAGCTGTGCATGACTCTTAAAGAGAATGCGGTCTTTCAATTTTCTGTCACATTCAAAGGGGTTATCTCCTGCTAAAGGTCAGGTGAAGGGACTAACTTCATGGAAATTATGGAGTTTAAATGCCACAGAATTCAAGAACTACCACTGATGTTTGTTTTTGCTTTTTTTAAAAGGAATTCCAGTTCCTTACATTGGACTTTAAGGGGGGAAAGAGATAGAGTGGTAGAGAAACCTTATCCTGAGACAGATCAGGTAGAATATTTAGGCCCTGTCCTGTGTGACGCAAGTTTTCCTCCCCAGTGTTGTGACTTGAGATGATGTCTTCACTCCCTTTATCCTGAATATGGTCCACTCACTGAACAGACAGACTTCTTTCATACCATCCAGAAGACAGCACTCACAGCTGCAGAACACAGCTTTGTATACTTTTTAAGATGGTAAAAAGCAGGCATAAAAAGCACTATTTCCTTAACTGTGCATGATTAAAAGCACCTCTTTGCACAAGGTAAGGGTACATTTTCCCTTTTCCCTTCTGGATATAAAAGTATTATGAGAGATATCCAAATACTGAGGCATCAGTAAAAAGTATACTGCTGCTGTTCCTACCATGTTACCATTTATGGAATAAAATTAACACCCCAAAGAAATCTTCACAGATGAGAAAGCAATTTGTCAAAAACTGCAAGAAATAGTATACATTAAATATAAAACTCATATACAAAAAAGGGCTAACTTTGTTTTTTAAAAAGTTTGGACAGTTCCTTAAAATTATCTAATTCATTGATTTCAGCCTACCACACACTTACTTTGGACTATAATAAAATAACTAGGGGAGATAAAATACTATCCAGATGCTTCAGTTGGAGAACCGAGGTACCAATCTTGATCACTGCATTAAAACTGCAGCATGTGTGCATAGCTGAGAAGGAACAGCTCCTACACGCTGCTTCCCTCCTCTTCCCGTGTCACGGCAGCATTGAACTCTGGAATCTGGTCTGCAAAGGACTGTGTCATCCACTGTCCGTTAGGAACTTCACCAAAGGACGACCCTTCGCAGTACTGTGGGTTGCTTCCTGCTGGACAAACAAAAATCACACCGTTTTTAAAGGCAGCTGACACCACAGGCTCTTTGTTCCCCAGCTGCAGACTGAATGCCTCAAGCACTTTACCAGTTCCATTTGAAGACAAGCTGCACTGGTCAGTGTCGTATGGTGCACGGTCACAGTAAGCTCCTCCGTATGCTGCTTCATAGCCCGGGTCATACTTTTCTTCTTTGACAGCCATCTTTTTAGCATCCTCTGCAGAAAGGGTACAGCTCAAGTGTTAATATTTAGAATAAAAATTATCCAAGAGCACTTTTATCAGAGAACATTTGAAAAACAGCCACAAATTCTACAAAATAATCCCAGCTCACCTTAGATAATTTAGGCTGTACTAAAGAGAATGGAATCTGTAATTTTATACCACACAGTTTAGAGAATCACGTCTCCCCTCCTCCCATTAAATTCTTTATTTCTTTCTGCTTGGGAAACTGCTAGTATTGTACAGTACTTTACATTTTAATGAAGTGTTAGCAAAATAACAACCATACCTTGTGCAAGTTGCAAGTCAAATGTGTACTGCACCTCCTGGACGTCTGTGTTGGGTGCAATGCCTTTCAGTTGATCCCTTAAGTCTTTCAGTTTAATGTAATAATGAACTTTATCTTGTGCCCGAGGAAACTGAGCGCATCTTGCACTGGATGAAGGCATAACGTAGCACAGCTTGAGACAAAGAGCAAGAAAAACAGCATTACTGATCCCTGAGCTATGAGTTAATACTTACTGCATTCAGAACAACTTAACTGTTAAGCTCACTGTTTTAACCATTTGTACAGACTTCCACTAATGCCACAGGTGGTTGTGGAAGGCTAAAATGGGTTTTCATTTTTCTTGGCCAGCCATCTGTCTTGCCCTGAAGACAGGGGCTGATTACCAGCTGCTAAGTGAGCACAGTTTTCACCAGTTATTTATGTGCAGCAGGAGAAGCAGTACCCATGTGTGTTACAAGAGAGCAGGGCACACTCCAGAATTCCCTGAACAAGCAGAGCTCTGAGCCAAGGCATAGAGGAGTACGTGACAGCCTGCAAAGAGCCCAAACCAGTGAGGGAGGCAGCACAGGTTAATTAGCCTGGCTTCTTGGCCAAGTGCATCTGCATGACGTACGCCAGGCTGTGAAACTATTGTTAGTGTGGCTGGAGCCAGCTTCAGTGTTTCTATCTGCACCAACAGCCCTAACTAAAGACATCAAGTTAGTTCAGGCAAAACATACTGTATTCAATATTTCTATTACCATGCAGTCTTTATGAACAAGTACCAGCAAAGGGGATTATTTATCTTTCTAACAAATACATCTATTGCAGAAGTACTTAAGAGCTACTTAAGGAGTGTGAGCACTTTATCCAATGATTCTTCAGGCTCTAATGACAACACTTCCACCTTTAGAGAAAGGCAGCTGAAACTTGCAGCACTAGTAATTGAGGGTAGAAATAAGAAGAAAAACAATCCAAACTTTTGAACTGACAAGGTAATGAAGCTTTAGAATAAGCTACCTTGCCAAGTACCGTAGTTGCCTTTGCTTTATCTTGTTTATGAGAACATATTAAACAAACCAATTTCTAATGATACATAGCTGGTCTCTTGAGATCCTTTCCAGCACTAAAGGTCTATGACTAATGCACTCTTCATCAAATTGCTTGTTTTATCTTAAGCATCCAATTTAACTTCAAAGTGCAGATCAGCTTAAGGAGACCGAGTCTGACAGAAGCGCTTGGGCATGCCCAGATCCAGCAATGCTGAGGGGTCATGTGCAGTGCCACAAGGATGGACTCCCCCACTGTGGCACTGCATGGTAATGCTCAGTACCAAAATCCACTAATACAAATACCCAGGGAACTGGACACTGGGGATCAGATGAAAATTATCATAAAAGCAGGCATGTGTTACCTGTATTTTAGGTAGTCCTTAGAGATTGCACCAACCTACTAACCATAACATACCGTTTCTCAAAGTCAGCAAGTCTGAAAAAGCTGCATTAAAGACATGTCTGAAAACTGTCTAAGTAAAAACCTTTCACACCTCTTATACTTCAGTCAAAGTGTTTTCTTAAGCGGATGCAGGGCCTGAGATTTCATTAGTTTCTAAATAACCAAAAATGGAGTGCCTTAGTTTTGCTTCTCAGTCTCAATACTTACAGTTTCTGTATCTGGCACTTTGTGTGGCTGCAGCCCAAATTCCAAGTTCTTAACTTTAATTCCAAAAACTTCTTTACTAAAAATTTCATAAATACCTAAAATAAAAATATAGGGTAAGTAGAAAAAAAAAAAAAGCTACTAACAGAAAAAAATTATTTAAAAGGAAAAGTTCTCACATTTTCCATTAAAAGCTGCTATGCGAGGCTTATACTTTTGTAGCTTCTGCATCAGAATTCGCCCTCCTTCCCGAAACTCTTTGCTAAAAGACAAAGTACTCAAAATTATAATCACAACTATTAATTCATTAACAAGCCTGATATTTCCCTTTGTTGTCTAACCTGGAGAGGTCTTTGCTTCCAGGTGTTGTCCTTTCAACCATGTTTGTAAATCCAATCCCATATTTATGTGGCAAGGTGTGGTCATCCATGTGGTTTAACTGTTCATTGCTTAGACCAGACATGAACAGACACTTCCCTGCAAAGTAGGAAGAGAGACATACATTTGCCTTTTTCCAAGGAAAAGAAACCAGAACCAAAAAATCCCACTCAACTATTGGAG